AAATAACAATTCTTTACAAGTATTTTTAAATTCGGACGATACAATCACCCTTACATTCGATTTCATATTTCATACAAATTTACATCATTTGACCGAAGAAAAGAATAACCGTGAACAAATTGCGAAAATCACAAATAAATTGATCAAATAATTACAATTTTTTTAAAAAGAAACTACTTATTTAAAGGCCTATAATAAAATTTACAATAACTCTTATCTAACTATATATCCTAATCAAATTATTTTATTAATATGTATAATACTTATCATTTAAGTGACAATTTGCGTTGCTCAATTTCAAGGAGTTTCCTTTTCAATTCTATTTTTTCCGTCATTAATTGCTCCATGACTGAGTGGTGCCTCTTATTTTCAATTAATTTCTGTTTATACAGATTGCAAAATTCATTAAGCGCAATTTGCGTGTTACAAGCAACATCATTAATTACACTTATTCTTTTACTTATTGCCTCCAGTTCCTTTTTAATTGCCTGACTTCCATATTTGGAGTTTTTGCCACTCTGCAAGAAAAGCGGATCTATGTCGATATCAATTTCAGCCTTTGTGTCTTCTGGCTCATAGGCAAATCCCGACACGTCTTGCAGTGCACTGTGGTCCTCTTCCTCGGGCACAACATCTTCCACATCTTCCATTTCGAATGTTGCATTCGAATTATCCTGTAAATCGTCCTCAGATGCATTCATTATAATTTGACTGACATCGTCGTTCAAGCGACATAAGCTGGCTATAGTTTCCTCAGCAGAGCTCAAACCAGTGGCTAGGGGAATATTATGCATTTCGTTTTTCTCCACTTTCTTGATTATGAATCTCTTCCAGTCCTTCAGTGCCTGTCGATAACCACGAATTGTTAATTAGAGGAACAATGCAAGAGACGATAAAACGTGAGCCTCACCTTTTTCCATGTAGCGGCGTCTTTTTGCGGCGGCCCGCTAGCATTAAGTTCGGACGTGAGTTGCTCCCACAGCGATTCATATGAGTTACGTGTCTCCCAAGATGGATTTTGCAGCAAAACGGGATTTTTCTTTATGAATTTCAGAATTATTAGCTCCTGTGTGGGATTCCGAGGTTTACCTCGGTGGCGGTCATTTGACTGAGGCAAGATTTTATACTTTCGATTCTGTGAAGATCCAGTAACATTTGCATTGGGATGCATTCGGTTCATGTGTTTGCTTAAGTTTGTTGTTGTCGTTTTGTACGATAGCTTGGCTTTGCATATGTTACATAAGGCGAAGGTGTCATCAACTGCCCTAAAGAAGCACCATATTTCACTTGTTTTCCTCTTCATTGTTATTGTTTAATGCACTATAATATCTTCCACCAAAATTTTTTATTAATAGCGATAGTGCTGGTAAGGACCTAATTTAGTGTTGCAAACAGTCAAGGGAAATATATTGGGTATTCCAAAAATATTTGATGTTAAATTGTGCCAATGCTATGCTGCAATGTAGAATGCTGAATAAGTCAAATAAATGAAACAATCTGTAACAGCTAACAATAATTTATTAAATAAAATATAAAAAACAATATATTAAAATAAAAAGTGTTTTATACGGTAGATAATGGAAGCCTAATATATATGATGAAGAACAATATAGTGTTAGTATTCAATAATAAAGTTTGTAAAATATAAATTAACATTGAAAATTTGTTTTCCAAACATTACTATATAGAAATATATATTTATAAGACCTTATAATATATATAAAAAATATTATATTGAAATGCAAAATATACTAATTGTTTCCAATAGAGCGTATAGAAATTTAGTATTTATTTCTTTTGTTTGATTCGGTCACACTATTTTCTTCTTCGCGGTTTTTTCAAGAGCTAATAATATCTTAGATCAGTTGCTAAACTAAGAACAACTAACTCAAAGGGAGGTGAGATGAGGAAGAATAATAATTATTTGTCAGATCCAAAATAGTTTACGGAATCTTCGTCCGACCGAATGTATACTAATAGAAGGTCGAATTCCCTTCCTAGGAGAGGGGTTTCGAAAAATGCTCGACATTTGATGTAGTGAACCTTTTGAGCAACAAAAATTGCAATAATTCTTGGCTTATATTCTACTTACCTAAGAAACGGCATAGGAACATGAATGAATCTGAAAATAAATTGAAAATGAGTTTGGGATGGAATAGTCGGAATAGGTAGTCGAGACTGCTCGACTAAGAGATCCCCTGATCCCCTCAGTTCGATCGAACTGATAGTTCAATAGTCATTCGGACATGCACACACACACTCGCACACACAGGCATAAACTCGCACTGTGGGACCGTAATTGGACTATCTTCATGGAACTTTTAAATCGGAATTTTAACATCGAAATGCGTGCATTTGCCAAAGCATAATAGGTTCTGAGATTGAAGCG